TAATCATTTCTCCCAAGACATACTTAATTACTTAAGTATCACAACAGAAAGGCAAAACTAATGCAATTACAGATGATGCCCAGAATATGTTACCAGTATCTGCTGGGTAATAAGTTTTATTATTACTCCCCTCTACCTATGATTTTCAAGGCTCTATTTTATTTAAATCCTGAAGCAAGGTTAACTGCTATCAGTGAAACCTCTAAAATAGTAATGATAAATCTAAAATCTTTTTGTTTCGTTGTTTTTTTTTCAAAAGCAATAAACGTGTATTTAGCAAGGCAGATGGCCTCCTCAGATATAAGTGACAAGGAAAGCTAGAAATTCTCCTACTGTCACAACTACACAGCACTCAAATGCATAAAGGCAAAGAGACAAACCCCACACATAGGCTCCAGAATATTAAAGCCTTATATGTGAACTGGAATTTTTCTTAGTAATCAAAAGTTTAAGTCCTAACAATCTCTTTATTCACCTGGAATGGTTAAAAGCCAAAGTTACCAGTTGTACTTGTCAAAGAGCTGACTTTGTTGGGCTCATCTGTACAGTATGAGCATCCTACTCCACCCCAATTGCACCACTGTACAAAAGGCACCTGTTAAGACTATTTAACCTAAGGCAGCCTATTAGCCAGGCCTCTGTCAGCCTCAGAACTGCTCTGTCTCCTCCGAGTCATTCATTACCCAGTAGTTACCTAATACTACAAAGGAAAGAATCAAAGTATTAACACCTTAAGTTTTAGTCAATATTTTCCCTATAATAATATTCCATTTTTTAAATAAAACAGTGACTATTTTTTCCTGTCTTCCTGAAAGTAAGTGTGTGGGAGCAGCTAAGAAGCACCAGACTTGCAAAGTTCCTATGCTTGACATACTTATACTTGACACACATGACACAGATTTCTCACTAACTTCCATGTATCGTCACTGTAAAGATGCAGACTCCATTCTTCCTATTCTATTTTCCTGCCCTAGACTTTTGGTGAGAGGCATCAACTTTTTATCCAAAGAGGGTATGGACAAGAGAACAGTGCTACTTGATGGAGCTGAAGAGTAGAACATGAATAAATGCATCATTGAAATAGTAAGTGAAGAAATCCCAGACAGCCCAAACAAAATTTTGAAGTAAGAAAAAAAAGAACAAATTTAAGATAAAAGTAGTTTTGTACTTTCATTCAATTTCAGGAAGTCGAACGTTCTTCAAAAAAAAAAAAAAACAACCAACCAAACCCAAAAAGCAAAAACAACCCCCCCCACACTAACTTAGATACCATCAGCTAAGGGGAATTTCCACCTTCCACAGAAATCACAATCATAAGGCAAAAATCTGGTTTGGAAATTGTCTTCCCTTAAGAAAATATCTTCTTAATAACAAATATTCATATCAATCTTGCTAGACACAGTTGCAGCTACCTTGCTTCACAGTTCTCAAAACAAAGAGATCACATTTACAGTAAGTGATTCAGGAAGAAAATCCAGAAGTCCCCAAGTAAGATCCATGAATATAAGAAAGAAAAGCACAAACACGGCTTTTAGATACACCTGAATGCTGGATTCGTGTAACGCACCAAAGACTTCATGTGCCAGAAATACACAAATCACCAATGCTGAGCACGGATGATCATTATTTCTAAGCAATCTAGAGGGGAAAGGACAGAGACACAGCTGAGCTGATCCAGTGATCATTTCCTTCCTCAGTTCACACATTTCATTGTGGTTTGGCAGAGTTCTGCCTGGATTGGAATAAAACAATGTTTGCATTTTCAATGTCTTTGGTTTCAGTGTTCATACCTTACTAAAAGTACAAAACGTCCTCCAGATCTGCCTCATGGTTATATGTCTAGGAATCAAATTTTAGGATTATGATAATTCAGGCTGGAAGGGACCTCAGGAGGTCTCTAGTCCAACCTCCTGCTCAAAGAAGGGCCAGGTGTGCATTCAGACCAGGTTGTTCAGGCTGTGATGCAGTTGGGTCTTGAAATCCTCTGAGGATGGAGATTGCACAACCTCTCTGAGTGACCTGGTCCAATACCTGCTTGTCCTCACGGTGAACACATCCACAATATTCAGTTAGAACACCTCGATTCAGTCTATGTGATTGCCTCTTGTCCTCCTGCCATGCACCACTGTGAAAAGCCTGGATATCTCATCTTGATGAGCTCTCCTCATAGGTACTAACGGCTGCTATTCAGGTTCCCTGAAGTCTTGTCCAGGCTGAACAAGTCCAGCACTCTCGGCCTCTCCTCACAGTGCAAGTGTTCTAGCTCATTCACCATCCCAGTGGCCCACCAGTGAACTTGTTCCAGTTTATTTAGGTCTTTCTGGGAGCCCAGAATAGATTTTTTTCCTTCTGCAACCAACTGTCTTGGTAACAAAGACAGAACCTTCTATATCAAGCATTGGAACAGGGTGCCCAGGGAAGCGGCTGAGTCACCATCCCTGGAGGTATTTAAAAGATGTGTACACCTGGTGCTTAGGGACATGGTTCAGTGGTGGACTTGGCAGTGCTCGGTTTATGGCTGGACTCGATCCTCTTATAGGTCTTTTCCAACCTAAATGATATGATTCTATATGACACACAGTGGATAATGCTGCTTTCACTCTTATTTTAAGTTATTTACGAAATAAACATTTCATGCAAGTTTGTTAACAATTATACAAGCAATAAAGCTATTTCAATGTCTGTCAGTAGTCAATAACACAAGTCAGCATCTCCCATTTCAGCAAGATGCAAGTGAACTACGAGACACAATAAAGCTTTTTATTTCAGTTGATATTCACACGGAAAACATCCTTAGCTATTTTCTCACTTTTCTGATTCTCCCCCACATCCCACCAGGGGGGAGTGCGCGAGCCGCTGTGTGATGCTTAGTTGCTGGCTGCAGTTAAACCACAATAGCTACACAAACTTTTGAATAAAACAAGGAAGAGGCATGTTTTACTGTCCCACAAGCCAGACAATCTCCTGCACTAGGACTATTACAGCTTTGTAGCAATTCATTCTCCTCAAGACCATGTCAGAAGAATGATACAAGAATTGTGAGCATTGTAAGTGATCAATAGCACTATTACAGACATGAACTTGAAAAACAGTTGTCTCCGTTAATTTTGGGATCCATCACGCAGTAAGAAACAGATTTTAAACATGCCTGATAATTTGCTCCTTATACAGCTTTTATACATTTTGCTTTTCCTAACAGTAACTGCACCTTGCCAGGTAACATACATTCCCTGACTCCAAAAAAAAAAAAAAAGGGTTGATCTATATTCTTGGTCTTCAGGCATAGACCAGCTAGCCAAGAAGGAGAAAAGCCTACATGGAGGTCTCTAGGTCTATAGTTGTAGAAGGGTGATTTGCCTGGGATACAGCACAGCTGTTCAATACAGTTGATGCAGCACAGGACCCATCAACCACCTTCATTTAGAACAGAAGGACAGAATATTTGGGGATACACAAATTTAAGACTTTTGAGAATAAAGGACACCTCTTAAATATAAAAAATGTGGTTGGGAAAAATCTTTTAAAAGATTGTTCAGAAAGAATTAATAACTTTGGAATATATGAGTTGTAAAAACGATTATAAAACAAATTTTTTTTACTCAGTAAAAACAATTTCTGAAGATTTTGCACCTACAAGTGCATACAACAAACCTAAAAACACAACTAAGTGAAACTCCCACAGAATCAGTTGGTTTATAGAACAAAATGTATACTAAATTCTCCAATTAAAAACCTGTAAAGTAGTTTCCGTGCTTTTTAACCCACCTTCCCACAGCAGGGAATTAATCCCTCCAGGGGGATGCAAACAAACTTCAAAGCGAAGATTATACCCAGACACTAGTACTGTACAATGTAATGTTTATGGTCAAATTTGTTCAGATTTTCTGGCACTAGAATCCAGGTCAGATGTGCAGAAACAAAGACTAGTTATTAAAAGGGCTCCTGCAGTTACATCAAATAGTTGTGATGGCATATAGCAATAGGACAGGCCAAAACTGTATTCCAGTTACAACTCCTATGGAGGCCTTGACAGTAAAGGAAAGAGTTGCAGCAATTTGACTTTTGAAGATTGTAACAAACAAATACAGATAATAAAAGGACCTAAGGGGCTTTCCAGTCAATAAAATACAAAACTCCGTTCTATTGGTTCCTTATATCATATATACAACACGTCCATGATCATTTCATCAAAGATGAAAGAAATATTACTTGAGTATATGTTGACTAATCACAATCATTCTAGCATCCCTCCTTTTCGTAACATTCCAGAGACTAATCTCACAAAACCTCTACTAAAATCTGCGATTACGAATTTCAGCCTTTGCTTTTCCTGCTTATTTGAACAAGTTCCTCAGGTTTCAAAAAAAACCACAATCAAAATTCACAAAGATACTTACATGTTGGTTTCAGCAGTTATGGGACTGCTCTAGCATAAACATAGGAATACTTGTCAGAAATAATATTACGCAAAACAGTTGTATAATTATGGCTTGGTAACAACACTTGGTAAAAACAGTTAACCAAATCGTTAGCTGTGTTCCTGCCTTATTTCTATATAAAAATCATTTGACCAAAGGAAGAATTCTGGGAACAGATAAAAATACTTCTGCAGAGAAGTAAGAAAGAGGAAGTAAAACTAAATTTCACACAAGAAGTTTTGGAGCTTTTTTTTGTTTTAAAACTAATCATTCCTTATACGAGCAGCAAATACAAATCTGAACATGCGTTTACTTTTTCAACCTAATAAAGTAAGAGTTATTTCTATTTTAAAAGACAAAAAAGGTGAAACCATCAAGGAAATCAAAAAATTGCCCACAATCAGGGATGAAGAATTTTTCATTATTAGTCCTACCTGTAAAAGATTCCACAGAACCAACAATTAAGGTATCTTTAAAAGGTAGAGCAGCAGAATATTAAATATACTGCATTATCTCACAATACATGGTTCTTAAGAATAATTTTAGCCAATAAATAGGTAGAATTACAGTACAAAACAGTACCTTTCCCAATGCAACCGATTCCTGAATAGGTTACTTCTGCATACACTTCAAAGGTAGTTTCTGGATTTTGTCTGAAAAGTAAAAAAAAAAAAAAAAGGGATTTAGCACATTGAGAATTTTCTTCAAGCATGCTTTCAATTACTCCGTTAAAAAGGGTTCTAAGAACGCACACAGTGCAATGACAACTTGCTAAACTAGATTTCTTGTTTTAGAGTCTGTGATGATTTCACACCAGACCTTTCTGCCTTACTCCTATGTAACAAAGCAGAACAGGACTGAAGCTCAGATGGGTCAGTGTGAACACGGTGTCTAACAAACTTCGTGGAGGAAAAAAAAGAATCAAAATAATAGAAATCAAGCACATGGAACCTTTAAGTCAATTTAATTGTTGTGACCAGTCTGCATTTCTAGGTACTAAAACCTCCCAGGCCTATCATTCAGAACTTTGACAGAAAAAAGAACCCAGGCCTTTTACGTCACTTTTCAGTATGCTACTTGGGTAGAGAAACACTAGTTACTTCAGTTCTTGGCCACAACAGTAACTTTGATTACAGGTGCAACTTGCAAAAGCAAGTTCTTTTTATCTCCCCTTTACTTTCAAATGAGAAAGTAAATCACCTGTGTGCTAAATCCAGGGATTATTTTCAGGAAAAAAATAATCCTAAATACTCTTTTCTCTTCACCAAACTGGAAACAGAGTCACATTGCCCAAAATCGGGCAAACAAACCAGATTCACATTTTCATTCCTGTGACCCTTGAGTTCAACTTCATGACAAGTATTTACTCGGGGGGGG